AAATGAAGGACAAGGTCATTGTCAAGGTCATAGTTCAATCAGCCCCTTCATATCCAACAATTTTTGTTTTAAACATTTTTTTATTTAATCGCGATATTTTGAGTTATTTGGCTGTCTAAGTTAAAATGGGTTACCCTGTATATTATCGTTTAGGGCAGACAAAATTTCTGTAAGTCCGGTTCTACAATAGGATTTTAAGCCTTAAGCCATAAGAAATGGGCGGATCACAGTCGCTTATTCTTCTCGGATTCGATTGTAAGGGGCTCCGCACAATAAAAGGAACAGGGAACAGAGAATAAGGGTGCGGTCCCATGCAATGCGGAACTACGGAAATGCGGATCTGCGGAACGTTCGTGATTAGTTAGTGGCTTCGTTCCGCCGAATCCGCCGCTTTCTTTCCGCAAAATTACTTTTTTGGCGGATTCCGTCCGTTTTTTGGCGGAATCAACACATTTAGGAAAATTCGGTAATAAAAAGTTTGTCGGGTAAACACGGATAGAACCGTGTGTTCGTGTGTATCCCATTGTGTACTGTATCGTGCGCGCACGTAGAGAATAGAAGTCGTTTTTGTTGAGAATAGAATGCGTTTTCAATGTTTATACAAAAAAAACATAACAGTAATTTGATATCGGGCCGTTGTTGTATTTTCCTTTCAACGAGGAAACGCATATTTGACATGTCAAAGGTTCAAAGAAAATCGTAAGTTTTTTTCTTATATTAATTACTTATAATTATTATATTGTAATTTAATCTGACTTTTTGTTAAAGTTTGGTCCTGTATGAGGAATGTGTGAGGTTATGATGTAATCGTTTTTGTTGTTTGTATTAGGGTCGAAAATGTGGTTACTGCGGATTTTATCTCCCACAATCGTATGACTTAATGAACCACTCATGTTTCCATCCCTTTGATGATGAAATAAATGCATTTAATGTAGATGAAAATTTCATAGTTACTGTCGGTAAGTTTTATTCGTTAGATCAAAACGATTTATATATTATTTGTGTCATTCATTATTGAGAAAATAAACATAAAATGACGTCAATCTACTATTACAGTAAAAAAATATTGAATATTGATAAATTGACTGCAATAAAGTATAATCATTTATCATTGTCCAATGTTGTTTTTGTACGATGGATAATTTGTTCACACCATGGTTATTCATGCTTTGTACTACAATTCAATATCGAATTTATACCTTTTTTATTAATTTTAATTTTTAGTGATGAGAGAGGAGTATGATAATAATTTTTCCGAACCTGGGACTAGCACATGTCAGCTGACAAATAATAAAGATGACGAGCAGCAGGAAGTTAACATAGATGAATTACTTATTACTTGTGTGGCTCGTAAGCGAGCATTATTTAATTATAGACTACCTGCAAACGAAAGAAGTAATTTAAAAAAAAAGGCGTTGTGGCAAGAAGTATGCAACCTAATGGGAGGTTAATCTAGTATCCAAGAAAGATTGCAGAAGCAAATGATAATTAAAATGTGTCAAGATAGGCTGTAGAGCTAAGCAAGATCCTCGTGCTGTAGAATATTTTATATTTCAACAGTATGAGGATCTTGCTTTGCTTTCCAGCTCATCTTGATACGTTTTGATTTGATCATTGGGGCCTTCAACAATGTATTATTTTATATGATAATTGATTAAAATTACATATTTATGCACTAATCTGGTAATTTTATCATTTTTTTATATTTAGGTGTTTTAAGCGTAGACGAAGCAAAACGAAGATGGAGGTATCTTCGAGACTGTTACATGGTCTAGCACATGTCAGCTGACAAATAATAAAGATGACGAGCAGCAGGAAGTTAACATAGATGAATTACTTATTACTTGTGTGGCCATAAAAATGAGAGCAGCAAAAGTACTTCTTAATAAAAAATATTATCCTGAAGTGTTAAAATTCACTACTTTTACATCTCAGTAAGGCATAACTAATGTACATTTAAATATAATATTCTAGTAAACAACATAATTATAAAAATAAAATTCTTTTGGGGTATCTGAATACGCCTACCTACCTACTTGCGTTTCGAAAATATTTTCAATATTAATGTATCACGAGAAGCCTGAAAAAGGACAAGCGTTCTTGTATGCATACGTGTTTTCCGTTCCGCTAAAATACGTTTCCTAATGTCCCATTGAGCGGAATTTGCGGATGCGCAATCGATGTGAGCCAATGACAAACGCTATTCCGGTAAATCTAATGAAAGCGATCTACGGGAAGACTCTTGCAATTGGTTAGCGCTAATTGCGCATTCCGCAAATTTCGCTCAATGGGACATTAGGAAACGTATTTTAGCGGAACGGAATCGGCGGAAC